GGCCCTGAACCCCGGCCGACTGTGCTTCTGCCGGGGGTAAGTTGCCATCTCCTCACCATAAGAGGGGAGATGCGAATTTTTGAAAAAAAAAAAATAATAACCTTTATTTGTCTCAAACAGAAACTTTTCACACAATACAACTATTGCCCATAGAATAATATAATTTAAAAACTAATGAATGAGACAGAACGGTCTATAACTCAGTGAGGGCAGTGAGTCCACCCTCTCTGCTATTCTGTTATAGCCTTTATCAGTAAAATACAATGTGAGTTCGACGACGACGATAGCATATTAAGTTTTAAACCACGACTAACAAAGTAAACATACAAATTGACAATAACAAACTTAAATATATATAATCTAAACATTACTCAGGATTAGTTACAACATTAAATAAAATCTAAGAATTATTCAGGGTTATTTTATCATATATACCATCAGACGCAGACTTGCGTGTACGCATATATATCGACACAACTTAGTAAATTACAATACTACGAAACGAGTAATATACATGATCTTCAAAAATAATTAATTGTTATTTAAAGAAGGGCTATAATAAAAGAAAGATAATCAAACATAGTTGGACCACTAATGTTTGGTATCGAAAAGGTCGAAGAGCACACTTTATCACACTCAGTTTTAACACAGCGCCATCTAGTCCCACGGTAAGCTGAACTTCTTTTTTATGGATGATAATGGAATGGTGCTCCCACCTGCGCTAACGGTTTATGCTGGCGGGGCACCAGTGCGAGATGATAAGATGAACAAACAAAAGATGACAAATCACCAGGAATATATCATGATAGTTTCCAGGGAGACTTGGAGGTCGACCTGACGCAACACATTGCTAGAAATGGATATGTATTTACAAAAAAAATATCTATGTATTTATATCACTTTTCTAGTACCCATAACACAAGCTCTGCTTACCGTGAGACTTGAAGGCGCTGTGTTAACTGTCAAGGACTATTTAAGAGTTATTTATCTAAATTTATATAACTCAAAGATGACTGACATAGTGATCTATCAACGCACAGCCCAAACCACTAGACGGATCGGACTGAAATTTAGCATGCAGGTAGATGTTATGACGTAGCCATCCACTAAGAAAGGATTTTGATTATTTCTACCCCCAAGGGGATAAAATAGGGGGTGAAAGTTTATATGAAACTTCGTCAATTATAAACCGATCGGGCTGAGACTTTGCTTGCATAAAGCTACTATGACGTAGGCATCCCCTAAGAAAGGATTTTGATAAATTCCACCCCTAAAGGGATAAATTTACGAGAGCGAAGCCGCGAGCAAAAGCAAGTTTATTAAATATATCCGGCGGAAGTCGTGACAGCGTATATAATATTTTTTATTGATCCCAGTTTAAATGTCGAGATCGTATATGAAGGTGAATAAATATCAGATATGTTGCCCCGATCACACGTAGTTATGAAAATGTCAGCGCGTGGGTGGATAGGTCGCGGACCACACCGTCCACTATCCCTTACTATTTACGTCCTAGCGTTGACGACCTCGGTGGTCTAGCGGTTTAGCACACCGCTTTACGTCGATGGTCGCGGGTTCGATTCCTCGCACGGCAAACATTTGTATTCATGACTATGATTGTTTGCATCGGTCTGGTTGTTTCCTAAGTAAAATATGTATGTATTTACGAAAAAATCCACTTATTTGTATCACTTATATAGTACCCGTAACACAAGCTTTAGCTAGCTTAACTTGAGTTTAGATGGCTCTGTGTGAATTGTGCTGAGATTAAAAATAACTAGCATTTACCGCGGCTTCTCTCCTTCATTACTGGCTGCTACATGCAGCAAATAGTTGATATTTAATATTTTTGTTTATTATAAAAATATTTGTTATCTTTTTAATGATAAAAAGTATCCTATGTTCATACCTCCAAGAATATGTGTACAATAATTTCATGAAGATCGGTTTAGTAGTTTTCGCGTGAAACCGTAACAAACATCCCGAAAATAGGGACTGGTATGGACATATTCTGCGTAAATCTGAAAACCACATTGTGAGTAAGTGCCTTTCCATGGCTACAACAAAAAGAGGACGAGGCAGGCCACCAACTACCTGGTTGACAAATGTCCATAGGGACATGCAGGAGTTGGGCCTGTCAAATGACGATGCTTACCAGCGAAATGTATGGCGCCCCAGGATTAGAAAAGCCGACCCCGAGTAACGGGAAGAGGCGAGGATGAAGAAGAAGAAGAAGATCATATTAGATAGATAGATAGATAATTGATTTATTGCCAACATAACACAAATTCAAATTTTTCAAATTCAAAAATCATTTATTCATGTAGGACATTTTAGCCGCTTATGAACGTCAAGTTTTACATTATAATTTTTTTTCCCTACCGTCCAGTTCGGTATATAGATCCAATTGAGAAGAACTGGCAAGAAACTCAATTGAATTACTTTTTTTTTTAAATCCAGTTTATTTACAATGCATTTATATAGGTGTCTATGTCTAACATTAAATGAAAATCCCGACAATGAAAACTATTGCCATGCACGCTCGTCGTTCAAGTAATCGTTTAGTGAGTAATAGGCCTTGCTCAGTAAATATGATTTAACAGATGTTTTGAATTTATTTAAGGGTAATTCCAATATATCCTTTGGTATCTTATTGTAAATTTTTATACCTATTCCCATAAAGGACCTATTGACTTTTTCTAAACGATATTTGGGGACAGCAAGTTTGTCTTTAAATCTAGTATTAATATTATGAATATTGCTGTTTTTTGGAAATAAGTCAAGATTTTTATGAACATATAGGATATTTGAATATATAAATTGAGAAACAACGGTGAGAATATTTGCCTCTTTGAATTTCTCTCTTAATGAGTCACGACTCTTCATACAGTAGATCGCTCGAAAGGCACGTTTTTGTAATATGAATATATTTTTAATATCTGCCGCTTTTCCCCATAATATTATTCCATAAGAGAGTAAACTATGAAAATAACTGAAATAGACCAATCTAGCAGTATCAGTATCAGTGTACTGTCTAACCTTACGCACGGCAAAAGTTGCTGTAATTAAGTGGAAGTAACAAATAATACAATATACAATAAGACACAAAATAAGAAATAAATAATAACATAGAAAGTTGGCAATAGGAGCTGCCTCAGCTGTTGCTCATATAAGCACAACCTCAATGAGGTGCACCTATACAGCGCTGTTTTCTGGCATATATATACAGACAGCGACAGCGACCTTGTTTTATACTATGTAATCATGTAATTGTATTAAAATAATAAATTATTGCGTAATACAATTTCGTGGATTTAATATTAAAATTGTAATAAGGGCAAAATGTTTTTAATGTGATATTTGTATTCCCCTCCTAAAATATGATTTCCCTTAAGAGCAAAAGTTTGTTTCTGCGAATATTACGTGAATCATTAATTGAGAATACGACACTTATTCTCATTGCAAGAAAGTATCTCAATGTAAAAATATTGGTAAATAATAAATTTCAATGTAAATTGAGATGACAAAGATGTTTAACTTTAGATATTATTTTAAAAATATTACCTACAGATAAATTAAAAAAAAATTATAAATCATAAGATATGATACACGCCAATATACAGGAACTAGACAACTGATATAATACTTTTTTTTTGTATAGTCTGTGAAAATGTGTGTATTCTTGAATATGTGTATAATACACCAATACAAACAATCGTACTCATGAATATAAATGTTTGCACCGTACGAGGAAACGAACCTGCGACCGTTGGAAATCAAGTGGTATATATATACTATAAGACTGTCAACAAGACAAGTCTTAAAATTAGACGGTAAATTAAGTTTAATTATATGTACATTTTATTTGCTCTTTTTTTTCGTTTATTGTTTATATTGTATTTTTTATATTGCACTGAATAAAATATTTTTCTTTCTTTCTTTCTTAAAATTATTACTGTAACGGATCGATGAACTGTATGGGTGTCTAAATGATGAAAACACTTAGTTTATATGATAATAGTATCAAAAGCGGTTACGGCGGCCGGTCGCCAACAATTACATAAACTTAAAGGAAAGACGAAAAACTTGTATGTTTATAGTTATATTAGCTACACAAATGTACATGTATTATACATATAGACTTTCCTCTTGAATCACTCTATCTATTGCTAAAAATTGCATTAAATCCGTTGCGTCGTTTAAAAGATCTAAGTGGACAGATAGCGGAAGCGACTTTATACTATATAAAGATTTCCTTAAATACGAAGCATTCTATTAAAGATAAATAAATAAATGTAACTTGTGGGCAAGAATTTATTTATATCATTTAGTACGAGCACCTGTCTTTTAGTATAAAAGATAGAAGAAATAAAATATACACAAGTATTTAACAACAATATCATATATATCAAACCATAGGGGGTGAGTGCAGATGGCAGTCCAAACCAAAGGAAGGACTTATGGAGCGGCTGAAGGCCAACTCCCGCCTGACGGATACGACTTTAGTCTGAGCACCAGTAGGGGTTCGAATCTCGGCTCAGTTCGTTATTTCGATCTCCGTTTGAATTGGGGGAGTAATAATAGACTTTAAATAATTATGTATTCTGACGATTTTCGCGTACACTTGTAATCTAAAACTCGTGACATCTCGGTTGAACCGGTAACTCACGTCGACCGACGAGCACTCCAAACATTAAACTCCTCGTATAATTATTTAATTACTAACTGCTCCCGCGACTTCGTTCGCGTGGAATTTTACTTTATTTTTCTGAAATAAAAGTAGCATAAGTAACTCCTTATTACATGAGTTATCTGTCAAAAAAAATTCCATCAAAATCGGTCCAGCCATTTCAGAGATCAGTCGGAACAAAATGTTGTCTATTTAAAAGTGCTTATATTAAGTTTATTTAAATAAATGACTTTCTATTTTCTATTCTATTCGATTACTAACAAACACATTTCTCTGTACTGTGTACTAAGTGTTGCCATGTTTGTTACAGATGCGGTACTGCGTTGCTGCACTGTGGCTGTCAGCACTCACAACCCTGGCGGTGGCGGCTGCGGATGAGCCGCACCATGATGCCCCGCCCCAACAGGTACCAACTCATACAACGAGCCACTGGCAATCTCCAAACCCACCACAATATTTTAACATTTTACCCATCGTAATAAATTAACCATATACCAGCAGTAACCATCTTTGATTTTTTAATTAAAGTCACCGACAGATGTACCGTCATACTCGTGAACGGGTGCTGCTTGTGGGGACTGGTCTGTTCAGGTTGCAAACACTGATTAGATTTTTATTTTTTGCAATAGCATATGCTAGTGGTCACTCTGTTCTCTCAAATTTCAATTTAAATGAATCTGTATTATTGTAAACATGTACAACATTTATTTTAAAAAAAATACGAGATGAGTTTCTTGTCAGTTCTTCTCATCTCGAAATCATTCCGAACTGACGGTAGATTTGACATATCATAAGAGTCTGTAATAGACCTACATGAGTGAATATATTTTGAATTTGAATTGAATTTGATGATAATGGAATAATGTTTCTGCCGGCGCTACCAGTTTACGCTAGTGGGGCACCAGTAGGGGATGTTAAGACGAGGTCAGAGCAGTTAGCTCATCGTGGTGAATTCTGGATGTAACCAAATGGTTTCCAGGAGAAACCGGATGGTGGTCAACTGGTCAGGACATCACTAACAATCCTGTGTCCAGAGCAGCATAGAGTTACGCAGAGTATTTTTAATGGATGATAATGGAATGTTGCGTTACGCCGACCCCAAATAAATGGGATAAGTAAGAAGCAGATGATGATGATGATGATGATAATGGAATGTTGCGTCTGCCTACACTAACGGTTTATGCTGGCGGGGACCAATGGAGGACGTCATTTTAACTACTACCTCACCTGACTTCATGCCTAAGAAAGGTACGAGGTTAGATCAGGTAGCACATCGTGACAAATATGGAATTTATCATGATAGTTTCTAGGGGGAACCACGTGGAAATCAACCTGACATGGTACATTTCTAGCAACGGTGTTTTTAGTGTAGATTAATCTCCTTACCCCTGAGGGACCAGATGCAGGGTAATCTACCTTATCTTCTATCAGATAAAGATTTAAATGTCAAATAAAACAGTTCCTTTGCAAAAAAAGCTTACTATACAATTGAAGAATTCGTTAACGATAATAATGTTTTTATAGAAAAACTTTAAATCCATAGCACTGACAATATTATCTGATTACACTAATAATGAGTTCGTAGCGATTTCTATGTTGATTATCGCATGCCTCTTACTTGTTATACTGTAATTATTTATATAAAAAAAACATCTATTAAAAAGAGCAACACACAAGTTTCTTGCTCATTCTTCTTGTGATGAATTTGCATTCCGAATGAGTGGTAGAATCAAAATATGACTATTCAAAAGTGCTTCTAATGAGTTTATTTGAATAAAGATTATTTCTATTTCTATTTCTCCTTCCATCTGAGGGAGCAGATGCAGGGTAATCTGCCGTATCATCTATCAGATTAACATAATTTAGACTCTCCTGATAACAAAAAGGATTTGTTAGTAATGTGGACTGATGATCTCATTACTAGCATTGTACCATATGAGGTTAACCTACACGCGTCCCCGCCGTGATAAATTGCTGGAGAATTTGTCACGTTGGGCTAACTGACCTGACCTCATGCTCATCTTATCAGCCTCCACTGGAGCCAGCGTAAACCGTTAGCGCCGGCGGGTGCACCATACTATTTAAAAAAATGCCTTGCATATATTTTTATTTGCATAAAACTCGTCAACCTTCGCAAACATGGCCGATGCACTACGGGGGAATGCAAACAGACAAATAGATATCAAATATATGTAAATAAACCCTTTGAAAGATATAAGACTATATTTCTAAGAGTCCTCTTAGACTCTTCAAATATAACTAGAGATTTTTATGTATAAATTGCTGTATTTTGGTAGGATAGAAATATACCGTTGTAATTACATTACACGAAATGAAAATGATCTAGAATTACTAAAATCGCGACTTACAAAAACAATAAAACAAGGTTAAATACCTTACCTAAAAAAAACAATGTACAAAAAATTATATAACAAAATAATATCCTTTTAACGATATGACGGAATATCAGAATTCCAATGTAAAATATTAAGTGATTTTTTAATTTACTTTTATATGTGGACTTTACCACAGATAATATAATTTTACATATTACTAGCTAGCTGTTCCCGCGACTTCGTCCGCGAGGAATTTAACTTTATTTTTCTAAAAGTAAAAGTAGCCTAAAGAACTAAAAATTATTTTGTTCGTCTTAATTTATTCGTTCCATTAGGTACTGATAGGTTCAAACTAATGCATTTACATCCTGCATCATCTCTTATTTTATCCCCATGGGGGTTGAATTTATCAAAATCCTATTTAAGCGAACGTCTTCATCATAGTAGCTCCAATCTTTAATTTCAGTTCAATCAGTCGAAAATCTAAGAAGATTTATACAAACTTTCATCCCCTATTTTCTGCCCTTAGGTGTGGAATTTATCAAAATCCTTTCTTAGGGGATGCCTACGTCATTGTAGCTTTATGCATGCAAAGTGTCAGCCCGATCAGTTTAAAATTGACAAACTTTCATTCCCCTATTTTATCCCCTTGGGGGTAGATTTAATCAAAATCCTTTCTTAGCTGATGCCTACGTCATAACATCTACCTGCATGTCAAATTTCAGCCCCATCCGTCCAGTGGTTTGAGCTGTGCGTTGATAGATCACTATGTCAGTCACCTTTGAGTTATAATATTTAGATTACCAGAGCACTATATTATTTAAGTCGTATATATTCTTCATATTGTTCTCCATTTATTGTTTACGTATGTAATCTACCTAAGTGAGCGTATTGGGAAACAGAACGTTAAGCGAGCTTATACGGAATAAATAAATAATCCACGTTTCCTTTGCATTAAAATATAATTACGTCGATTTATTTCTATACACCGTTGTGACTGAGTAATTACAAATGTGTTTTTATTATAAAGTTTACTGTAATATACATCGTATCATTCCCCGCAACATTAGACATTGATATATATATACATTGAAACTAAACTGGCTTTTATAAAATATAAAATAAAATATTCAATTGAGTTTCTTGCCAGTTCTTCTCAATTGGATCCATATTTAGAACTGGGCGGTAGGGAAAAAACTAAAATCATAACGTAGAAAATTTGACGTTCATAAGCGGCTAATAACAATATAGGTCTAACTTGGCTAGTTTTCATATACGAAATATACTGTAGCCTTCGCAAGTTCTAAACATGTTACTTGTCGGTTCCTATTTTAATATTAGTAGTAACTAGCAATCGAAAGTAATAATTGGTATATGAGAACTGGCCAAGTTACAAATTAGGCTACAGTATTTTTATATTGTTATAAATACATTTCAGGACAGACCATTGAACTTGGCACCCATTTAGATCTCACCTCTTTTGTCGTAGAAGTCAACAATCAAGGCATATATCATAATATTAATCTCGGCTATCATTTCACATTTATGTTTTTGATGGGATATGTCCTACATGAATAAATGATTTTTGAATTTGAAAAAAATACTACTAAAAACATCTCCTAACTGAACAAATTACTTTAAAATCTCCTATTTTCTACGGTTTCTGTCTCTTATCTACGGAGCTTTATTAAGCTGCTTATCCAACTTGTCCGTAAACATTGTCTTGCACTATCTTATCTCACGGAGCCTGTCACCATATCACTATATGTGTAATCCTTATAGTATTTATGTAGTACAAGTAGTTTAATAATATAATTCATCACATTATTTACAGTTTACTCTTACTTTATATATTTTGGTAAAGAGCTCGAAGTTTAATATTTATGTAATTTTTCAATAGTAAGTACAGCAGGCAATCGAATATCAGCGCTGTAGAGTTATATATATTATGCTGAGTTGGCTGCCTTTTCACTTTTGCGGCACATAAAGTCACCTACATTTCTTTTATTAATTCATGTTTTTTTTTCTGTATCACCAAAAAACAACATGTGTTTGTAATTGTTGAATAAAGAATTTACCTATCTATCTATTTATCTATCATTATGATTATGGGGACTGCGTGTGGAGACTGGTCTGTTCGGGTTACGAACACTGATTAGACTATTTGCTTTTGCAATAGCGTATACTGGTGATCACTCTATTCTCCCAAATTTGAATTTAAAAATGAATCTGTATTATTGTAAACATGTATATAACATTTATTTGAAATGAATACGAGCTGAGTTTCTTGTAAGTTCTTCTCACCTCGACATCATTCCGAACTGACAGTGCATTTGACATATCATAAGAGTCTGTAATAGATCTACATGAATAAAGATATTTTGAATTTGAATTATTCTACTCAGTTCGCTATGAGAACACTCTCCATAAAACAGGAAATTGTTTAAAAAAATTATCAGAATATGTACACATTTCGACTTTTCCGTAATGAACCTGTTAATGTTGCGTAAAAAGCAAGTATTGCTGCCCTCTTTTCTAACATACTAAGTAGATTATGAGTTGTATAAAAATAAGGATCCGCTTGGCCGACACAAACTCGTTTTAAAACATTTACTTGTCGACAAAACGGGAGCTTACGAAATGTATATTGTTATACAAAACGACCGCTGAAGACAGTGGGTAGGGCGCCGGGGGAGGTGGAGGAGGGACGAGGGGGTTGCGGCGTAAAAACGGCAACAAAAGAGCAACTTTAAAAAGCCGCTGCAAAACTTAGAAAGCCTCTTTTTCAGTCGACCAAAACGGGTTTGGTCTCATTAAGAGAGGTCAGTGCAATACACATATTTTGAGGATGTAGTTCAATTTGACGTTCATGAATAAATGATCCTACATGAATAAATGATTTATGATATATATATAATGTATTATAAATTTTGAAAAATTAAAACAATACTTATTTTATTTTTTATTTATTATTATTCTTTATTGCACCACAATAACAAAAAAATATATATATACAAAAGAAAACAATATTTAGATTATGGGTAAAAGGCGGCGCTTATGCGATCTCTTCCAGACAACCTTTGGGTAGAGGAGAAAAGACAGAAGGTGGTGGATGGCGCATGATGGAGTAGAAACATTAATAATATTAATATATAAAATAATACATATTATAAACATATACATTCTACATAATATAGAAATATATACGAGTATAGGTACACAGCAACATATATGCAATTATGAAGGCGACAATTTAGTAATAAGAAAGGACAGCAGAAAGAATATTTACTGAGAGAGATAGTGCGATTTCACAGCGTTCTTGAAAATGGTTAGTGATTGCGCACTCCGTATGGAGGATGGTAGTGAGTTCCACACGCACGGCGCGCACAGAGAATGACAGTTTATTCACAGTTTTATTCTTCAATAGACTATTTTTAATGCGATAATAGTCTATAACTATATATTTCCAAGGAATGTTTAAAGATAAGACAATACCTACGAATTCATTTCTTAAAAAATTTAACCATACCGAACAATTTTTAGCGTTTGATTAAGGTTTTGAATTTTCTAATTTTAAGATGATTACTAAAACATCGTAGCCCAAATTACAGCCCAAGTTAAAGACTCGCAAACTCCTCCACAAGTTCAAATATGGCTGACACAAAAAACTTTGTGTGTATATATTTCCGGTGATTACAAACAAAAATAATCGGCAACCTTAAGAGGACGAAAACCTATACATTTTCTTCACTACCCTACCAAAGTGACCATTACGAGACCAAATTCAAAACTCCTCCACAACTTCAAATATGGCTGACACTGATACAAAAAACTTTGTGTATATTTATATATTTCCGATTATTACAAACAGAAATAATTGACAACTTTAAGTCAACGGAAACCTATACATTTTCTTCACCACACTACAAATCAAATTAATCGACAACTAAGTTACGATGACAGAAAAATTATAGATTGTCCTCGCTACACAGAATTTAGATATACTCAGCGAATTCTGAGCACAACAAATCTTGTATTCATCATGAGGTAGACCTATAAATACATTTTCAAGTATCTATTTGGGATATCTAAAAAATGTATTAGTATAATCTGAGGACGCTCATCTCCGCAACAGAGAGACTGCGCCCTGTTAGTCGGCCTCAGCATCTCCACAATTAACATTTTGAGATGTGAACGCTTTAATAGAATAATAAAACAACTTGTTGTGCCCAGTCGCGTGTTAACAATTCATCCTTGTGATTTTTCCTCATAAACATCAATTTGAGTCACTTATTTTTTCATTGCGAATAAACGTTACAACAAAATTGTTGTGACAGCACGTGACTGGTGTGTGACAAATGTTTATTAACCTACTTCCATCTTGTTTGCGTGGTAGTTTCAAGTTTCATTCATAGTTCTTTATGTTATACCAGATACAACATCTATTTATGTTACTAAAATTATAAACGCGAAAGTCTGTGAGTATGGATGGACGCAAAAACTACTGAACGGATTTTAATGAAACTTTACAGTAATATAGCTTCATCAAAATCCGTTCAGAAGTTTTTGCGTGAAAGAGTAACAAACATCCATCCATCCATACTTACAAACTTTCGCGTTTATAATATTACCACCCGTTCTTAGCCGCGTGGAATTTAACTTTATTTTTCTAAAATAAAAGTAGGCTAAAGAACTAAAAAATATTTTGTTCGTTTCAATTTATTCGTTCCATTAGGTACTGATAGGTTCAAACTAATACATTTACATCCTGCATCATCCCTTATTTTATCCCCATGGGGGTTGAATTCATCAAAATCCTATTTAAGCGAACGTCTTCATCATAGTAGCTCCAATCTTTAATTTCAGTTCAATCAGTCGAAAATCTAAGAAGATTTATACAAACTTTTATCCCCTTAGGGGATGCCTACGTCATAGTAGCTTTATGCATGCAAAGTTTCATACAAACTTTCATCCCCTATTTTATTTCCCCTTGGGGGTAGAATTAATCAAAGTTCTTTCTTAGCGGATGCCTACGTCATAACATCTACCTGCATGCAAAATTTCAGCCCGATCCGTCCAGTGGTTTGAGCTGTGCGTTGATAGATCACTATGTCAGTCAGTCACCTTTGAGTTGTATATATTTAGATTAAGATTATACATTTCAATATCATACTTAACTAAATTGAAGACTAAAAAATATAAATAAGCGAGTTGTCCGAATGTTGAAAACATCTTTTCTGTGTTTTATAAATTAGTTGTTAACTTATTATTTTCTTTCTCCAGACTGAAAACGATGTAGAACTCACAGAAGAGGAAAAAAGAGCATGGTCCAGCTTACACGGAGGTTGGGGAAAAAGAGGATGGCAAGATATGAGTTCGGCGTGGGGTAAACGAGCCTGGCAAGATCTAAACTCCCCGTGGGGCAAGAGAGGGTGGCAAGACCTTAACTCAGCATGGGGAAAAAGAGGTTGGCAAGATTTAAACTCTGCGTGGGGCAAACGCGCATGGAGTGATCTCTCTCAAACTCCCTGGGGCAAGAGGGGTTGGAACGATATGAGCTCTGCTTGGGGCAAACGAGGTTGGAATGATATGAGTTCTGCTTGGGGCAAACGGGGCTGGAACGATATGAGCTCTGCGTGGGGCAAGAGAGGTTGGAATGACATGAGCTCGGCTTGGGGCAAGAGGGGCTGGCAAGACATGAGTTCAGCGTGGGGCAAGCGTGCACCTGTAAGTAATACTGTATTTTATAAACGGAAGTATAGAAAATAAATAACTAATCTATACATATAAATGAATTTGGAGTGTCTGTTTGTAATATTGAAATAACCGTTTTTTACTACATGCATATGAATATAAATACAAAAAAATTCTGTCTAACTAGCTGTACACGCGACTTCGTCCGCGTGGAATTTAACTTTATTTTTCTAAAATAAAAGTAGCCTAAGTTACTCCTTATTACATCAGTTACCTTCCATTAAAAGTCCCGTCAAAATCGGTCCAGCCATTTCAGAGATTAGCCGGAACAAACAGACAGACAGACAAAAATTGTAAAAAATGTTATTTTGGTGTATGTATTTATATTCATATGCATGTAGTAAAAAACGGTTATTTCAATATTACAAACAGATCCTCCAATTTTATTTATATGTATAGATAAAGTAGATTTTATTATGTTATAAATATTATTTAACACTAGATGGATCTATGTGATTTGTCTGGAAAATAGAAGAAGAAAGAAAGAAAAATATTTTATTCAGTGCAATGTAAAAAATACAATATAAAATACGAAAAAAAAAATGCCCGTTTGTTTTCTACAGGAAAAGTGGGCGAACTTCCACGGCTCGTGGGGCAAGCGTTCCGGACCTGAAGCTGACTACGAGGATATTGATGCAGCCATTGAACAGCTCATCCCCATGCAACAGGTAACCACTGCTTTACGTACCATCTGTACGACGGTAGATTTGACATATCATAAGAGTTTTTTTTTTATAACACAGGGGACAAACGAGCATGCGGCTCACCTGATGGTAAGTGATTACCGCCGCCCATGAGCACCCGCAACACTAGGGGAATTGCAAGTACGTTGTCGGTTGTTTAAAAAGAAATAAGCTCTTTTCTTGAAGATATCAATATTGTATTGGTTCGGAAATACCATTGCTGGAAGGTGATTCCACAATGTGGTTGTGCGAGGCAAAAAGTTTCTAGAAAACCGTACTGTGGAAGACCGCCATTCATCCAGATGATCAGGATAAAGATACAGAGTCTGTAATAGACCTACATGAATAAAGATATTTTGAATTGAATTGAATTGAAGTTCTAAGAACCCACTTGCAGCAGGGGTGGATACCTAAGAATTATATAAACTCGTTGAAGGGCGTCGATATTCGCAACACAGTTTTATTGACAGCTTGACAGCCTCAGTGGTCTAGTGGTTTAGCACACCGCTTTACTATCCGATGGTCGTGGGTTCGATTCCTCGCACGATACAAACATTTGTATTCATGAGTATTACTGTTTGTATCGGTCTGGTTGTTTTCTATGTATAATATGTATTTATTTACAAAAAAAAATGTATCCATGTATTTATATCAGTTGTCTAGTACCCATAACACAAGCTCTGCTTAGCTTGAGACTAGATGGCGCTGTGTGAACTTATTAGGCACATTGATTTAAAAAGAAAAAGTATAATCCATCACATTTAAAATAAGTATTGTTGCTAAGTAACAGTTTGTATGTAACGTGCAACTGCAATCGGAACGAAAGTAAATTATATTTACTGCTATATATGTAATCCACTCAATATCTCTATCAGAATTGTCCTGAGATATTATTATACCTCTATGTTTTTTCAGTAAATCAGTGCACATGTTTTCTGTTTTAAGTAAATAAATAAAATAAAAAAATCTTTAAAAAATAAAAAGGCAGCAGCCCTGGGGCCCGAGGATAGAAAGGGCCCCCAGTCCCCATTGAAATGATATTTAGAATATAAAAAAATATCTAGAATGTTAAAGATCGTATAATCTATCATAAGGTTGGCAACCCTGAGATCATACAACCCATGCAAGTGCGAGTGTAGAAAGGAACGGGGAATTTCTGGTCGCTTGTTTCTGGTCGGTGTATTTTTTTATATGTAATTTGTAATATATGTAATTAGGTAGACCCCTAAGTGAAAGATGGAATGATGGAAGATCGCGGAAAGTGGCAAGAGCTCCACCGACAAGAGCGTAGCTCTTAAATTATGAATGAATGAATGAAGACCCCTAAGTAGATTTAGCCCAGAAATTCACGATCCATCCCTGATTTCCAGGCAGGTTTAGGAAAACCTAAGAATATCCTTCAATTAGAATAGAATAGAATAGAAAATCATTTATTCAAATAAACTTACATTGAAGCACTTTTGAATAGTCATTACATTTTTTAATCTACCGCTCGTTCGGAAAGCTGTCTCATCACAAGAAGAACGAGCAAGAAACTTGCGTGTTGCTCTTTTAAATAATTTTATTATTACTTTACATTTTTAAGTTTAAGTGTGTGAATACAAACCACCAATTAGCACTAATTCTATTAAATACTCAAATAGAAATAATAATTCTTGTCCCTGACCGGTCTATGTAGCGAACTTTGAAAAAGGGCGAGCACAATAGATCTATGTAGGTCGCAGTGCTACAGGTCCATACCTGACAATAGCCCAAACAATCCCAATAAAAAAAAGTTTTTTTAGCATGAAGGTGGCAATGAAGCATACGGCCCATCTGATGGTTAATGATTACCGTAGCCTATGGATGCCTGAGAGCCCAGAGGAATTACGTGCATTACCGACTCTTATGAAAACTTATTATACCAGTCTTGAAAAACCCCATGCTGTACTCTCTAGAGAACACCCCGGCAGGTAGTTCATTCCAGCTACTTTATTAATGAGAATTGTAGGTTGAATTATGCAGGCAACGCCGCGGTATGTAACTACTATTAATATTACCGAGGTAGTAAAAAATTACCAGCTAGGTCTACCTATACGTAGAGGTCTGGATAGACCTAAAGGTACTATTTCAGTCACCAAGCAGCTCTGTGTCTGTCTGTATCTGTGTTTCAGTTGTAGAGTAAGAAAAGGCAGTGAAATCTATACATATAAATAAAATTGGAGTGTCTGTTTGTAATACTGAAATAACCGTTTTTTACTATATGCATATGAATATAAATACGGTACATACACCAAAATATTTTTTTTTACAATTTGTCTGTCTGTCTATTTGTTCCGGCTAATCTCTGAAATGGCTGGACTGATTTTGATGGAACTTTTATTGGCAGGTAGCTGATGTAATAAGGAGTAACTTGGCTACTTTTATTTTAGAAAAATATAGTTAAATTCAACGCGGACGATATATATACATATATATTTGACAACCTTTGTGGTCTAGCGGTCTAGCATACCGCTTTACGTCCGATGGTCGCGGGTTCGATTCCTCGCACGGCACAAATAGAATAGAATAGAATAGAATAGAAAATCATTTATTCAAATAAACTTAATTTAAGCACTTTTGAATAGTCATAACAATTTGTTTTTTATCTACCACTCGTTCGGAAAGCTGTCTCATCACAAGAAGAACGAGCAAGAAACTTGTGTGTTGCTCTTTTAAATAATCCTTGTAAGTTTACATTTAAAAGTCGAAACGTGTGAATACAAACTACCAACAAGCACAAATTTTTTGGGTCAAATATAATCATGCAATAAGATTAAATCAGTCGCAGTGATAAGAGCAGACCAGTCCCTACAAGCAGCACTCGTTCACGAGTATGACGGATGAGCCAGCCATCACTGCGCTCGACCATATTTTAGGGAGCCCATTGACCCGGCCCACCACGCCGCCACATGTCTGGACATTTTAGTGAGCATGACTACTCATTCCACACGACCACGTCACAGCTACAAAAATTACTATATGGTAGTTACAGTATTCGCACTTTACATAAGGATGCATGCGGCAATCAATACAAAAGCCGCTACGCTATCATATATCAAGAAAGCAGTATGAAAATTAAAATTATAACGTTGTCCGCAAATAAACTTATTCTTGCTATATATTGCTATCATCTATAAATTCATCTATCTTATAATAGGCTTTTTTACATAACATTTGTTTAATATAAGATTTGAATTGCCTCTCTGTAAGATTTAGCGTAGACTCTGGCAGTTTATTATTATTACAAACATTTGTATTCATGAGTATGATTGTTTGTATCGGTCTGGGTATTTTCTATGTATAATATGTATGTATTTACGAAAAAAAATTATCTATGTATTTGTATCAGTTGTCTAGGACCCATAACACAAGCTTTAGCTAGCTTAACTTGGGTCTAGATGGCGCTGTGTGAATTGTCCTGAGATTATTATTATTATTATTATTATATTTGCAGTATAACGCTATATATGTACCTTCATATTACTGAAAATATTTTACCACGAATTGTATGTAATAAGAGAAATCTAGAAATTTGATACTAAACCGAGTGTCAACAAATGCTTACCTGTGACCTTACGGTAGACGTGTGCCGGCTCCCCAGGGGTAACGCTGTGAAGATACACGACATGAGACGGGAGGGCGCGCCACCATCCGCCCCTGGAGAAATTTAACGTTGTAATGGATGTAGGAGACGCGTCTGCAGTACACACCGATTTTAAAAATATTTATAGGCCATTTGAGTGTACACATCGTAGACTAGACGGACGTGACAAACATATAATTTTGTATATCATTTATAATTCATCATCTTCATCATCATCTCAGCCCGGAAGACGTCCATTGCTGGACATAGACCTCCCTCCACGCCGATCGGTCCTGTGCTGCTCGCATCCAATGCCTTCCAGCGATCTTGACCAGATCGTCAATCAACCTTGCTGGAGGCCTTCCCACGCTGCGTCTTCCGGTCCGCGGTCGCCACTCGAGGACTTTACTGCCCCAACGGCCATCTGTCCTACGAGCTATGTGCCCTGCCCATTGCCACTTCAGAGTCGCAATTCTTCGGGCTATGTCGGTCACTCTGGTTCTTCATTTATATTTATAATAATAATAATAATAATCTCAGGACAATTCACACAGCGCCATCTAGTCCCAAGTTAAGCTAGCTAAAGCTTGTGTTACGGGTACTAGATAACTGACACAAATAACTGGTGACAAAGATATAATTTTGTTTGTCATTTATAATAATAATAATAATCTCAGTACAATTCACACAACGCCATCTAGTCCCAAGTTAAGCTAGCTAAAGCTTGTGTTACGGGTACTAGATAACTGACACAAATAACTGGTGACAAAGATATAATTTTGTTTGTCATTTATAATAATAATAATAATCTCAGTACAATTCACACAGCGCCATCTAGTCCCAAGTTAAGCTAGCTAAAGCTTGTGTTACGGGTACTAGATAACTGACACAAATAACTGGTGACAAAGATATAATTTTGTTTGTCATTTATAATAATAATAATAATCTCAGAACAATTCACACAGCGCCATCTAGTCCCAAGTTAAGCTAGCTAAAGCTTGTGTTACGGGTACTAGATAACTGACACAAATAACTGGTGACAAAGATATAATTTTGTTTGTCATTTATAATAATAATAATAATCTCAGAACAATTCACACAGCGCCATCTAGTCCCAAGTTAAGCTAGCTAAAGCTTGTGTTACGGGTACTAGATAACTGACACAAATAACTGGTGACAAAGATATAATTTTGTTTGTCATTTATAATAATAATAATAATCTCAGAACAATTCACACAGCGCCATCTAGTCCCAAGTTAAGCTAGCTAAAGCTTGTGTTATGGTACTATATAACTGATACAAATATATAATTGGCGGACGTAACACAATCCGACATTTTCTATTCTCTCAAATTTGAATTTAAAAATGAATCTGTATTATTGTAAACATGTATAACATTTATTTGAAAAGAATACGAGCTGAGTTTCTCATCAGTTCTTCTCATCTCGAAATCATTACGAACTGACGGTAGATTTGACATATCATAAGTCTGTAATAGACCTACATGAATAAAGATATTTTGAATTTGAATTTGAATTGAGTCAACCATAGGTGGCGCAGTGAACAATTGTTGACGGTGGAAATATAATTGGTGACCTCAGTGGTCTAGCGGTCTAGCACACCGCTTTACGTCCGATGGTCGCGGGTTCGATTCCTCGCACGGCACGATATTTGTATTCATGAGTAAGATTGTTTGTATCGGTATGGGTATTTTCTATGTATATTATGTATGTATTTACAAAAAAATAGATATATAATAAAATGTAGTGTAAAGGGATGGGACGCTCTAAGAAAAGATGGATGGATTGTGTGAAAGATGATATGAATAAAAGAAGAGTATGTTTAGATATGACGACTGATATCAGTGGAAGAGAATGACATACTGCGCCGACCCCAAATAATGGGATAAAGGCAAGGCAATGATGATAGAATAGAATAGAATAGAAAATCATTTATTCAAATAAACTTAATTTAAGCACTTTTGAATAGTCATAACAATTTGTTTTTTATCTACCACTGATGATAATAAAATGTAGTGTAAAAGCTCTGCTTAGCTTAGAACTAGATGGCGCTATGTGAATTGTCCAAGGGTATTGTGTTCAGGAATATTAACTTTAAGAACGCCATGTTTGTTTCATGGTGTGGTCGTACAATTGTTATAGCTGGCAACACTAACAGTTTACGAAATAATAACCAACTGGTTTTACGTAAATGTCGTTTAACTAAAGTTGCTAATTCGTTTTATGGTAATTGCCTAAGGTTTTATTACAAACTGCCAGAGAATGTCCCAGATTATGCCTAAAAAAGATTAAAATGTGTCAAAGGAAAGCACTTTTTATGTAAAAAAATCTTATTTTATACACATAAATAAAATTGGAGTGTCTGTTTGTAATATTGAAATAACCGTTTTTTTTTTAAATATAAATACAGTACATACATCAAAATAACATTTTTTACAAATTTTGTCTGTCTGTTTTTCTTCCGGGTAATCTCTGAAATGGCTGGGACGATTTTGACGGGACTTTTATTGGCAGGTAGCTAATATAATAAGGAGTAACTTTTAAATTTTAAATTTTCAAATTCCACGCGGACGATGTCGAGGGAACAGCTGGTTATAAATAAAATTGAAGAATTTGTAAATATCTACAATATTTTTTGTAGAAAATACTTAGAATTCATAGTGCTTACCATATTATCTGATTACACAAAGATTGAGTGTGTAGCAGCTTCTATGTTGATCGTCTTACATAGAAATGAAACATAATCAATTTTCAACAAATTCTCATACCATCATACAATTATAATTATTGCTACATGACTTATAACTACATATACAGTGTCTATATGATAAAGGAGTGTTTTGTCCACCGCGTTCATCTCCAGGATTTATTAAGAAGCAAGTTTAACAAAGCGTAATCCTCTTCAAGTATAAGCCCACAAGTCACCGCAAAGTATTGTTTCATCTGAAACTATACAGAAGAGCAAAGATATAGAAACAAAAAAAAATTAGTAATCTCTACAAAATGGCGACTCCATTGAACTAAAATCTCTATATAACAGCGACTCCATTGAATTAATATTGATCAATAAATTTGCTTTTATAGCACATGCTGGTAGTCACTCTATTATTACAAATTTGAATTTAAAAATTAATTTGTATTATTATAAACATGTACAACATTTATTTGAAAAGAATACGAGCTGAGTTTCTTATCAGTTCTTCTCATCTCGAAATCATTCCGAACTGACGGTAGATTTGATATAGCATACTAGCTACTCGCCCCGGCTTCGGCAGGGTGTACATGCATTATATATATAAACCTTCCTCTTGAATTACTCTATCTATTAAAAAAAACCGCTTCACAATCCATTGCGTAGTTTTAAAGATTTAAGCATAAATAGGGACGGACAGACAGCGACAGCGACTTTGTTTTATACTATGTAATGATGCTGGTGGTCACTCTATTATACCAAATTTGAATTAAAAAATTAATCTGTATTATTGTAAACATGTATAATATGTATTTGAAAAGAATAAGTACATTACATATATATTTAACTGGCTGTAACTGTAACAAATATATGTTGCAGATTATTCTGAATGCAGCTCTCTCATTAGGTAAATTTTGGTAATAAAATAAAGATCTTTTTAATATGTATATTTTAAAGATGGCCGTATTTTAAAGACATTTTAAAGATGGCCATAGACAATACAGTTTCCATAAAAAGCATAGACAATAAAAAACAAAAAATAGAGGTTGAAGAATAGTGTTGACAGGGCAGAAAATGTAACACTTATATATGTATGAATACAGAAAGTAATACCATATACTCATATATTGAAAATGGTAACATTTACGAAGATATAACGATAGAATGTGAACGCCCACCTAAATATGTGATGACCCAATTTATTATGTACTAGTAGCTAGTATATAAAAACCCGTGACTTCGTCCGCGTGGAATTTAACTTTCATTTTTTCTTAAATAAAAGTAGCCTAAGAGTAACTTAGGCTACTTTTATTTAAGACTCCTTATTAACTCTTTATCACATCGGCTATCTGCCAATAAAAGTCACGTCAAAATCGGTCCAGCCATTTCAGAGATTAGCTGGAACCAACAGGCAGACATACAGACAGACAGACAAAAGTGGTAAAAAAATGTTATTTTGTTGTATTTATTTTCATATGCATGTAGTAAAAAAGGGTTATTTCAATATTACAAACAGACACTCCAATGTTATTTATATATATAGACTAGTAGCTTGTACATAAAAACCCACGAATTCGTCCACGTGGAATTTAACTTTCATTTTCTAAAATAAAAGAATTTTTCTTAAATAAAAATAGCCTAAGTTACTCCTTATTACATCGGCTATCTGCCAATAAAAGTCACGTCAAAATCGGTCCAGCCATTTCAGAGATTAGCCGGAACAAACAGACAGACAGAGAAAAGTCGTAAAAAAATGTTATTTTGGTATATATACCGTATATTCATATGCATGTAGTGAAAAACGGTTACTTCAATATTACAGACAGACACTCCAATTTTATTTATATAGATTGCAAAAGCTCGTGACCTGGGAAGCTTTAGTAAAAATGTAGAAATATAAGTTATAACATAATAATTTTTCCATTAATATTTATTACAGTGTGGCATCATACTTTTTAAATAGAAATAGAAATATTCTTCAATCAAATAAACTCAATACCAGCACTTTGAATAGTCATATTTTTATTCTACCACTCATTCGGAATATAGACTCATCACAAGAAGAATGAGCAAGAAACTTGTGTGTTACTCTTTAAAACAAATGTTGTTCATAATTAAATAAGCACTTTTGAATAGTCACATTTTTTTTTATTCTACCGCTCATTCGGAACGCAGACTCATCACAAGAAGAACGAGCCAGAAACTTTCATGTTACTTACTCTTTAAAACAAATGTTGTTCATAATTAAATAAGCACTTTTGAATAGTCACATTTTTTTTATTCTATCACTCATTCGGAACGCAAAATCATCACAAGAAGAACGAGCCAGAAACTTTCGTGTTACTCTTTAAACCAAATGTTATTCATAATGAAATAAGCACTTTTGAATAGTCACATTTTTTTTTATTCTACCGCTCATCCGGAACGCAGACTCATCACAAGAAGAACGAGCCAGAAACTTTCATGTTACTTACTCTTTAAAACAAATGTTGTTCATAATGAAATAAGCACTTTTGAATAGTCACATTTTTTTTTATTCTACCGCTCATCCGGAACGCAGACTCATCACAAGAAGAACGAGCCAGACTCTTTCGTGTTACTCTTTAAAAAAAAAGTTGTTCATAATGAAATAAGCACTTTTGAATAGTCACATTTTTTTTTATTCTACCGCTCATCCGGAACGCAGACTCATCACAAGAAGAACGAGCCAGAAACTTTCATGTTACTTACTCTTTAAAACAAATGTTGTTCATAATTAAATAAGCACTTTTGAATAGTCACATTTTTTTTTATTCTACCACTCATTCGGAACTCAGACTCATCACAAGAAGAACGAGAGAGAAACTTGTATGTGAGCAACACACAAGTTATATTTTAAATAATTATTGTTCAGAGTTCAGTTTTTGAGAATTTTGTGTGTATACAAACTGCAAAATAGCTAAGTATACATATGATGATGATGATGATGATGATGATGAATACTACTTGAGTAACAAAATAAATCAGTCATAATTATCAGAGCAGACAAGACTACAAGCAGAACCCGTTCACGAGTATCCGTACTAATATTATATACGCGAAAGTTTGTTTTGTTATCATACTTTTTCTGTATGTGTGTTTGTTCTTGCTAATATATGAAACGACTGGACCTATTTTGACGAAACTTTGACTCTCAGATAGTTAATGTTATAATGAGTAACTTTACCTAAGTTACTCCTTATAATTTTAAGGAGAGAGTTAATAGGAGTAATTTTATTTTAGAAAAAAATTCTTAATAATAAATAAAGTAAATACCGAGCGGACAAAGTTGCGGTTACAACTAGTTAGGTAGCTTAACTTGGGACTAGATGGCGCTGTGTGAATTGTTCTGAGATTATTATTATTATTATATAGGCGAAGGTAAAATAATTAAAAAAAAATACTTACATATATTGACTAATTCAATTATTTGTTCTCAGTTGGAAAACATCGAAAGGACAGCGATAGAGACACCCGAAAAGAAGGCATGGCAAGCGTTACACGGCGCGTGGGGCAAGCGACCCGTCAAGCAACACCCGTACAACAGCGGTAATGAATACTTAATAATTTCAAATATTCTACACTTCTAACATAGAACGACGTTCTATTTACGATAAACTGCAGAGTACGGGGGCAATATGTCTTGGATTTCAGAAATGGTAAATGTATAATACAAAGTTACAATGTATATTGTGATTTAAGTGCGTACTGTTATTATACATATGAGACGGTTACTTACCATTACCATTACCACCACTTACCACATACCATTTGCCGTCCTAATTGCTTGTAGAAAGTTTGCCAGTTCAGTCAGTTGAGTATTATAATCCACTATTGAGCGACTCCACCTCTACATAGTTACCATCCCTGTAGGGGTAGATTGTAAATTTGTGGGGCCCTCGGCTAAATCTACTTAGGGGTCTACCTACAGTACCTATAAAATATAAAAAAACGAGCGAAAATACCTGTTCCTTTCGATAGACCCGAACTGACCCATGTAGTTAATTAAACATTCAAACACCTAATAAATTAGTGCTGGTTGGTAGTTTGTACTCACACGTTTCGCCTTGTAAATGTGAACTTACAAGGATCATTTAAAAGAGCAACACACAAGTTTCTTGCTCGTTCTTCTTATGATGAGACAGCTTTCCGAAAGAACGGTAAATAAAAAAAAATTGTTATGACGATTCAAAAGTGCATAAATTAAGTTTAGAATAGAATAGAATAGAAAATCATTTATTCAAATAAACTTACATTGAAGCACTTTTGAATAGTCATAACATTTTTTTTTTTTTTTAATCTACCGCTCATTCGGAATGCTGTCTCATCACAAGAAGAACAAGCAATAAACTTGTGTGTTGCTCTTTTAAATAATTTATTCTTACTTACAATTTAAGTTTAAGTGTGTGAATACAAACCACCGATTAGCACTAATTCAATTAAATACTTATTTGAATACATAATTGTCTATTCTATTCTAGATATTTTTATATTCTAAATATCGTTTCAATGGGTATTGGGAGCCCTTTGTATCATCGGGGTTCTGAGCTGCAGCCCAAAAGCACTTAGATAGATCCGCCCCTACATCCCTGCTGCGTACGAGAGCTAAGGAGAGGCACTCTCTCTCACCGTCAATGTTTCCAGCCTCTTTTTTTTATTGGGGAAATTTGGGCTACTATCAGGCACTAACCTGTAACACTGCGACCTGTATAGATCTATTGTGCTCGCCCTTATTCAGAGTTCTCTACCTATGTAGACCCGTAATGGACAAGAATTGAAGGATATTCTTAGGAGCGATGGTTTTTATCTCCTCGGGAAAGAGTGTAAACTTTCCAAAGGAGATATTTCGTTTATGCATGAGAGAGCTACAGTCACATAGGATGTGCAGTGGCGTTTCCTCTTCTGCTTGGCAAAATCTGCAGATTGCTGTTAAGCTGAGGCCTAATTTCGCCTTATGCTTATCCAGCTTGCAGGGACTATTTTTTTTTTATTTTATGGATGATAATGGAATGGTACACTCGCTTGCGCTAACGGTTTACGCTGGCGGGGCACCAGTGGAGGATGATAAGATGAACATGAGGTCAGATCAGTTAGCCCAACGTGACAAATTCACCGGGAATGTATCACGATGGTTTCCAGGGGGAACCGCGTGGAGGTCAACCTGACATTGGTACATTGCTAGCAATGGGGTCATTAGTCCACATTTCTAACAATCCCCTCCCCCCGCTTGCAGGGACTAGTGAAGGCCCTATTCATGATGTATATGTTGTTTTTACTCAATACTAGAAATGTTTTCCTACCTCTCACAAGTCTTACTTGGGTTAAGTCTAACAGTGAATAGATACTGTTCATAACAATAGTATAGTTATCACGTGACGACCTCGGTGGTCTAGCGGTCTAGTACACAGCTTTACGTCCGATGGTCGGTTCGATTCCTCGCACGGCACAAACATTTGTACTCATGAGTATGCTTGTTTGTATCGGTCTGGGTGTTTTCTATGTATAATATGTATGTATTTCCAAAAAAAATATCTATGTATTTGTATCAGTTATCTAGTACCCATAACACAAGGTTTAGATAGCTTAACTTAGGTCTAGATGGCGCTGTGTGAATTGTCCTAAGATTATAATAATAATAATTATTGTTATTAATTAGACGTTTTTTTTTATTATTATATATAAACAATTTTATAATTATACAAAAATTGATTCGTTCTCCTCTCTTCTCTTCTCTTCAGCTTGCTGTGCTCAACAGGGTCCTTTGATCTACTTTGAATTATACCTAACAACTGCTTAATGTAAAATTATGGAATACAAAACTTTTATCTATACATATAAATAAAATTAGAGATATACACTCATATTAATATAAATGCGGTACATGTATGTACCGCATTTATATTAACATTATTATTATTAACATTATTACAAAAATTGAAAAAAAATGTTATTTTGGTGTACCAAAATAACATTTTTTTTCAATTTTTGTCTGTCTGTCTGTCGATCTGTTTATTCCAGCTAATCTCTGAAATGGCTGGACCGATTTTGACGGGACTTTTGTTGACAGGTGGCTTATGTAATAAGGAGTAATTTCGGCTACTTTTATTTTAGAAAAAAAAGAAAATTCCACACGGACGAAGGCGCGAAAACAGCTAGTGTGTAATACGAATGACAAACAAACCGACAGTTGATGTGATGGCAAGATGTGACTATTGCAAGTGGTAATATGATTGTAACACCAGAACATGTCCTCTTGGGAGCTCTCACGTGTTACTATTATTTAGGATTTAGAAGCCAAAATGTCTGATATGTTTTAGCGACGTGTAAAAAAACTACGTAATTTGCTCACCACCTACATTGAAAATAAATAATAGTACTGTCAACATATCACTATGACGACCTCGGTGGTCTAGCGGTCTGGCACACCGCTTTACGTCCGATGGTCGCGGGTTCGATTCCTCGCACCGCACAAACATTTGTATGAGTATGATTGTTTGTATCGGTCTGGGTGTTTTCTATGTACAATATGTATTTACGAAAAAAATCTATGTATTTGTATCAGTTATCTAGTACCCATAACATAAGCTTTAGATAGCTTAACTTGGGTCTAGATGGCGCTGTGTGAATTGTCCTGAGATTCTTATTATTACTACATAGTATAAACAATAAAATCTTTTTTTAAAGCCAGTATATTTACTACATTTATACTTTTTTTTTATTCTTTATTGTATTTTAAAAGAGTGTACAAGAGGCGAGCTTAATGCCATATGGCATTCTCTACCAACTAACCTTTGGGTAGAACTAGAATGCGTTGTAGGGCAGTAATGGCGAAAACTTGTGATATTAATACTATAATAAATAATTAGCTAAACAAAATCTATGTACATATATAATTTATGTTATATAAATATAATATATACTTTAAATATACATATATATACTTCAGTCGTACCTACCGTATAAGAAGTTAATTCAAATTCAGGCAGTTGTGAAGTACGATAAATAACATGCTGTGTAGTGTGAACTCAGCCCCAGACCAGACTCCTGTTGAAATGTAGACAAAGTTGGGAGTTTAGGAAATAAAGGCGCAGTCAAACTGAATACAATACATAGTTAGTTGGCAGACTACCAAATTATTAATAACTAACTGTACCGGAGACTTCGTCCACGCGGAATTTAACTTCATTTTTCTAAAATAAAAGTAGCCTCAGTTACTCCTTATTACATCAGCTATCTGCCAATAAAAGTCCCGTCAAAATCGGTCCAGCCATGTCAGAGATTAGTCGGAACAAACAGACAGACAGATAAAAATTGTAAAAAATGTTATTTTGGTGTATGTACCGTATTTATATTCATATGCATGTAGTAAAAGACGGTTATTTCAATATTGCAGACACTCCAATTTTATTTATATGTATAGATGTTTCAATCACTTTAATGCGATATTATTCAATGAGGAGCCAGTAATTGCTCAGTCTGTAGAAGCTGAACTTTAAGGAACGGTTTATCGGTAAAGTTTTATAGAATCAACCATTTAGTGGAGTCGGACAGGGCTGGGGAGAATTGGGCCTGTTCACCACTATGTATGCTATGCTATACTTATAACAGTAATAATAATAACCCTCGACAATTAATAATAATAATAAACTCGTGAACGAGTGCTGCTTGTAGGGACTGGTCTGCTCTAATCACTATGACTGATTTCCTCTTATTAATTCTTTAACCAGTTGGTTATATATTCAATATTTTTTCTATTTGAGTATTTAATTGAATTAGTGCTAATTGGTGGTTTGTATTCACACACTTAAACTTAAAAATGTAAAGTAATAATAAAATTATTTAAAAGAGCAACACGCAAGTTTCTTGCTCGTTCTTCTTGTGATGTGACAGCTTTCCGAACGAGCGGTAGATTAAAAAAATGTAATGACTATTCAAAAGTGCTTCAATGTAAGTTTATTTGAATAAATGATTTTCTATTTCTATTTCTATTTCAATAGTCCGCTAATTTTTGTCATCATAATCATTTCTTTTATAATTGTCATTGTTTGGTGATATTCACCCGCAATGACAAGTTTAACACCCCATCAAAAGGAGATATAGTATAGGAGGAGATATAATATATACATATATATATATATATATATATATATAATAATAATAATAATATAAATTTATTTACCAAAAAAGTTAACATTAAATTAATTTTGCAGTATGTAGACATGAATATATATATATGTATATACACACCGCCACTACAATATAGTAAAACAATAATTAAAACCGATACACTACTAACAAATATTTGCTAAACAGGACTCCACTCAGCATATTGCTGCAGCCGAAGCTACAGCGCTGATTTTCAGCGGAGCCCTTAGGGTTCACAGTGCCATCTAGGTTCACCATTATACATGCTACGCAGACTCTAATAATAGAAATAGAAATAATCTTTATTCAAAAAAAAACTCATTAGAAGCACTTTTGAAGAGTCATATTTTGATTCTACCACTCATACGGTTTGCAGATTCATCACAAGAAGAATGAGCAAGAAACTTGTGTGTTGCTCTTTTGAATAAATGTTTGTTTTTATATAATAATTACAGTATAACAAGTTTGAGATATGCGATAATCAACATAAAAATCGCTACGCAAACATTATTAGTGTAATCAGATAATATTGTCAGTGCTATGGATTTTAAGTTTTTCTATAAAAACATTATTGTCGTTAACGAATTTTTCAATTTTACAGTAAGCTATTTTGCAAAGGAAGTGTTCTGTATGACATTTAAATCTTTTTTCAGGAAGATTTATAACAGACTCACGCAATTTCAATTACCTTAAAACGAATTACTAAGTTTAGTTGAATGACATTTAGGTAAATTATACTCGTAACAATCTTGGACAATTCACAGCGCCATCTAGTCCCAAGTTAAGCTAGCTAAAGCTTGTGTTATGAGTACTAGATAACAGATACGTCTACGAGGAATGATGTAACAAAATTCCAATGATCAAAGTTCTGATTTGTGGCAACGTTTATGGAGATATTAGTGGATACTGGCGAGTGGAGACCAGTGGCGTAGTCAGGTAGCCAAGGGCCCTGAGGCCAATACCATCTTTACTATAAGTGCACACGGGGCCCGTGCACGGGGCCCCCGAAGGACTGGCAATTTTTCTCACGAATTTATTCTTAAAAGATTTTTGTCGGGCACACTACTCTTTTTTAACAAATCAGTAATGTTATCAGACTGTTATCATAAGGCATATACTACGCCATTATACCGATTACTTCACCTATTCCTATGTTCTTATACCTAATGAGTTTGTTTTTACTTTCCAAAAGTGACGACCTCGGTGGTCTAGCGGTCTAGCACACCGCTTTACGACCGATGGTCGCGGGTTCGATTCCTCGCACGGCACAAACATTTGTATTCATGAGTATGATTGTTTGTATCGGTCTGGGTATTTTCTATGTATAATATGTATGTATTTACGAAAAAAAAAAATTATCTATGTATTTGTATCAGTTGTCTAGGACCCATAACACAAGCTTTAGCTAGCTTAACTTGGGTCTAGATGGCGCTGTGTGAATTGTCCTGAGATTATTATTATTATTATTATTACTTTCCAAAAGGGAATTCTTGTGTGCCCAAGGGCCCCAGCCTAGTTTAAAACGACGGTGCGTGGGGCAAATCAAAAAATGGGGCCCCACTACATTAGTTTTATTAAAACGTACATATCGCTATCCATCAAATTGACAACACTGCCAACAGAAAGAATTTAGGGGAATTCCGAAGGTATAACTTTCGAATTTCTCTCAACTGAGTTGCCACGAGTAAAGTCGGGGTGCAACCTGTCATATTTGTTTTGAAAATGGGAGAAATTTTCAAAAGTTCAATTCGATCGAGATTTTTGGTAAGGGTTAGAGGGCCCCCTGAGGTTGAGGGCCCCGGGGCACTGCCCACTACGCCACTGGAAACTTTCGCTGGAGGGAACAGTTGTAAATGATAATCTTCCCGCGTTATATCGACTGTGATATTTAATTTAAAAAGCGGCCGAGTGAGAGTTATCATGTAATTCGCAGGCGGCCGGCTCTCCTACATTTATTTGATGACTGTCTGCCATTTGCCATTTCTTTACGGATTCGCGTAAACGTAGACTTCTTAATAATATTATAAACGCGAAAGTTTGTGAGTTTGGATGTTTGTTACTCTTTCACGCTGAACGGATTTTGATGAAACTTTTCAGTAATATAGTTTATACATCAGAATGACACATAGACTAAAATATCAAGCGGACGAAGCCGCGGGCACAGCTAGTTAGATGTATATTTTTATGTACTTTTTTTTATTTTTACTCTATTTGCCGTTGAAAAGTCATTTTGTAAACTGTGTATATTATGTATGTATTTACAATAATAATGTATTTATGTATATCTATGAGTTGTCTAGTACACATAACATAAGCACTGCTTAAGCACAGACAGACAGACAGACAAAAATTGTAAAAAAAAATATTTTGATGTATGTACCATGTTTATATGCATATGCATGTATATTACATACAGACACTCCATTATTTATATGTATAGATTAAACTCTATATTGTGCACTGAAAAATAAGTACAAAAAACGTTTCTCATATATGTACTTTAAAAAGGCCCTGTTTAGGTCAAAGCTGGTAAGGTTAAAGATGTTAAGGCTTTTACTGACCATGTAGTCATTCTTAACCAATGACGGTTACCACTCTTCTTAAGAGACTACAGCATGGGGTTTTTCAAGAATGGTATGTTATGATTTCTTAAGGCTTGGCAATGCACACGTGATACCCCAGGTATTTCAGGCGTCCATAGTGTAAGAAGCACTATTTATGAAGGACGACTGAGGCTTTGAAGCCGGCTACCGCAAGGGAAACCCCAAGTAGCGGCCGTGACTTGTGACACGGGTGTAGGTTTAAAAGGCCCTTTTAGAATGCATTAAAACTCACCTTCACTACTTGCAGCTTCCCCCCAGGCCCAACTAGAACCGGGATAAACCCATTGCTAATACAATTCACTTTAATATCCAAAACACAACCGGCACGCTCTGCGCTCGTCGACTGAATGCCGCGGCTCACGCAACGAAAGAGGATTATTCAACTACCGACCTCCGTATTTATAGACCAAAGTCAGTGTAGTAGGTTGGTCTATAAATACTAGATGGTGCTATTTACAATATTCGTAATAATCCTTACATTGGGTACTTCATTAGTACTAAAAACAAACTACCTTTTTTTTATATATTCTTAAAATATCAGATTTTTTCTACAACAATGATGTGAATTCTAACAATAGGCTATGGTAATCGTTTACCATCAGATACGCCGTATTCTTGTTTGGCACTTACGTAGTATAAAAAAAAACTTACCATCATGAGCCTGCTTGTATTTTTTTTTAATGTCGTTTCCTTTAAAAGATTTGACAAACCCCTGGTGTTTCAGGCGTCCATAGGCTACGGTAACCGTTTACCATCAGATGGGCAGTACACTTGTTTGCCACCTACGTAGTATAAAAAAAACTTACCATCACGAGCTTGTTGGTATATTCTTTTTTTTTTAATGTCGTTTCTTGTAAAAGATTTGACAGTGTGTATAAAGTGGTATATGAACCTACAGGAGCGTTTTACTGGAAGAGAGAACCTGGCTGGACGAACCTGAGAGGGATGTGGGGCAAGAGGTCAGCGCAGGAGTCTGACATAGCGCTGGATGAAGACAACGGTAACCTCGTGAGACACTTCCACTCCACCATCACCACTCACTACATCCGTGTTACTTGTATCTGAACACCGCTAAATAGTGTCATCTCTCTTACACTTGTTCTTTCTACATGTCATGTCTATCTTCTGTCGCATTCTAGTCTTCTTGGTATTATAGTTTAGATGTAGAGCTTGTTTCTTCTTGTATTTAATGTTCCTTCTTCTTCTGTCTTTCTCTTTTGTTACTAGAATCTTTTTCATCTGTTTGATTTACATGTTGTTTTTTTACAGCTACAGATTTTCAGATTATATTAGATTTAAGATTTGAATGTTGTGGATTAGTAATTGGCTGTATATTGGGATTTTATGAGGTCACAAATTCGAAACCCTGAATATTTTGGCTTTGTCTGCGTTCCGAATTGGCTGTAGAATCAAAAATGAATACTAGTCAAAAATATTTATATTAAGTTTATTTGAATTAATATTACTTATATTTCAAAACAAAGTACTACTTATATTTAAATATATATAACTCAAAGGTGACATAGTGATCTATCAACGCATAGCCCAAACCACTGGACGGATCGGGCTGAAATTTGGCATGCAAGTAGCTGTTATTACGTAGGCATCCGCTAAGAAAGGATTTTGATTAATTCTACCCCCAAGGGGATAAAAGTTTGGATGAAACTTTGTCAATTTTAAACCGATCGGGCTGAGACTTTGCATGCATAAAGCTACCATGATGTAGGCATCCCCTATGAAAAGATTTTGTTAAATTCCACCCCTAAGAGGATAATATAACGTGAGAAGCCGCGGGCAATAGCTAGTAATAGTATATAGTTGATATTAATATTGTGATATGATGATAAAAAACATGATCCTCATCATGATAGAGGGATAAATCTCCCTATATATTACCAAGTGTGCAGTCCTTAAACTACCCAATTTATGTCATTACCCATATTTTATTAAATATTCTTTATTGCACTTAAATACATTTTCTAGATATATTAATTAGAACTAATGTTAACAAAGGAGGACTTATCTCTATAAGAGATCTCTTCCAGTCAACACAATACAGCGTGGCATAGGAAGTCTTGAGTGGGGTCAAATTGTGTAAATAATAATTTGATATAAATGTTATAAATAATTAAAACTATAAATATAATATAAATTATAATGAGTAGAGTCTATTTTACTTGTAATCAAAATATATAAACATACCATATATAAACATTTGTCATCAAAATTTACCATTCCGCGCCATAAAACTGATCTATTTAATACAGATACATAAATATAAAAGATATAAAAAAAATTACTAACAATTTTTTTTATTTTCATTACTTTGCTGTCACTTTTAAATTTGAAACTAATACTTGTATTTATATGGAATGTAATTGTACGTTATACAAAAAGAAATATAGTAATCATAGATAAAAAATGTGTAGGTATATATCTACCTACCTACAATAGAATATAATTGTATACTATACAAAAAAGTATAGTAACCTTATATAAAATACTAGCTACCCACCCCGGCTTCGCATAGATGTACATGTATAAATAAACCTTCCTCTTGCATCACTCTATCTATTAAAAAACCGCTTCAAAATCCGTTGCATAGTTTTAAAGATGTAAGCATACATAGGGACGGACTTACAGCAACAGCGACTTTGTTTTATACTATGTAATGGTAATAGGTATATATACCTACTATCAAAATAATATAGATAGAGACCGTTTTTTTTATATAAAATCCGTTGCGTAGTTTTAAAGATTTAAGCATACATAGGGACAGACAGCGACAGCGACTTTGTTTTATACTATGTAATGATAATAGGTATATATACCTACCTACAATCATAATAATATTGGTAGAGACCGTTTTTTTCTAGTCAATTTACTTGTACACCGATGTCCGATGAGAAATTTAACACAAAAGCTCGTTAGCACATTGTCAGAACAAATTGCTTAAACGGGAATTTCTTGGAAATGAATCATTGAGAACACTGAGAAAGTTCAAATATAAATTTATATTTGTAACAAAAAAAAATACATTTTCCGTAAAAAACTCAATGTTGAGTTCAGAAGTCGTTATTTATTGGTTCTGAAGTTTTAATTTAACAATATACAGGGTATCCACTATCCATCTCACCGCCTTACTTCCGATGATTACATATTATAAAACAAAGTCGCTGAAAGAACTATGCAACCCAATTGAAGCGGTTCTTTCATAGAAACTATTCAAGCAACGGATATATATATATATATATATATATAATACGTACATGTATTATATAAATAAACCTTCCTCTAGAATAACTGTATCTATTAAAAAAACCGCTTCAAAATCCGTTGCGTAGTTTTAAAGATTTAAGCATACATACCCATGCAAAGCCGGGGTGAGTAGCTAATTACTGATAAAAGAATAAAAAAAATATTTTTGTTAAAAAAATAAGATTATATATTGATAACAGAAACTCTCGAATTTTAGTAATTTATCAAAATAACATAATTACTGTTTCTCGTTCCGGCCAAATTGACAAAATAAATATTTATTGTTAAGCTCCTTATATATTTTCATTATTGTTACTTGTTTGGACCATTGGAGCGGTGTACGCAAACTTCTTTGCGATAATCTTTTAATCCCTTCTCGAGAGATGAATACACAGGGGCGGATCGAGAGTTTGTGGGGCCCTGGACTAAAACTACTAAGCCTACCTAATTATATTACTTAAATAAAAAAATACACCGACCAAAAACAAGCGACCAGAAATTCCTCGTTACGTTCGAATTGCACTTTATAATAGGTATTTAGATAGATAGATAGATAGATAAAAATCTTTATTCGTATTCAGATAACAAAGAAAGTACAAACAAAATTCAAATAACAAGAGATAAGAAAATAACACATAAGAATAGTAAATAATTTAAAAAAAACAACACTTTAACTTACATATAAAATAAACATTAAAATACATATTGGGTGCCACAGGGATACGAGAGATGAGCTACTCAGAACAATTTGCTCAGCGAGCAAAACACTGATTTTCAGTAGTGAGTTTGTGGTGCGATCGCGTGCAGCGACAATTCACTACAATCTTAATGTTACCAAAATTTAAATTAAACTAATTCTTAATAAAAATAATAGAAGAAAAAAATAATAAAATAAATAAATCAAAATGTATCAATATCAAATCAATTCAAATACAAATAACTGTTGACGCAGACCATTACCTAAGCGAAAAACAAAAAATAATAATAATATATAAATGCTAGGAATTGTCTAGTAGAAAAAGTTTTATCTTTTTCTTAAATACCAGTTTTGAAGTAATGGCTCTTATAGGTGGAGGGATATTATTCCAGCATCTAGTCGCCTGGTAGCGGAAACTTCCCGTAAAAGCAACAGTTCGGTGAGAATACATTGCTAAAGGAACCCGTGCTGATCTAGGGACGCCGACATAATGACTTTCAAAAGATTTTTCAAAGAGATATTTCATATTTTAAATACTTTTTTTATTCTGAACTAGCTATTCACCCTCGCTTCGAACGATTTACATGTTTTATACATATAAACCTTCCTCTTGAATCACTCTATCTATTAAAAGAACCGCTTCAAAATCCATTGTGTAGTTTTAAAGATTTAAGCATACATAGGGACGGACAGCGACAGTGACTTTGTTTTATACAATGTAATGATAGCGCCTATTATTTTCAATTGGAACGGGAGGCCCTTTGTATTTTCGGGGCCCTGGACTGCAGCCCGAAATGCCCTTAGGTCGATCCGCCCCTGTGAATTCAGATAAATTACATTGCTCTTTTATGATTAATTGCTTAATCGTTTTCCAATATACAATTTATTGAACCCACAAAATGTAAACTCTATTTAAAATTGATGTAACTTACTCATAAAACTGACTCTAGTCATTGGACCCTCGGACATGATATCATTGTATTTAATCCGATGAATCACTACATAATATAAAAACCAAGTCGCTGTCGCTATGTATGCTTAAATCTTTAAAACTATGCAACGGATTTTGAAGCGGTTTTTGAAGAGTGATTCAAGAGGAAGTTTTATATATATATAATACATGTACACCCATGCGATGCCGGGGCGACTAGCTAGTATGAAATAAGATGTAATTTCTTGAACATAACGGTTGTGAGCTTCATAGATTGATATGAGAAATAGTGAAATATCACTGAATCATTTATTTCTATGACACAATAGAATTTCACGCAAAAATATAATAATTAATGACACATAAAAAAAGAACATAAAAAATAAATAATATATGACATAAACAATGATAATGATTGATGAACTTGATAAAAGTCAAACAAACAAAATAAACACTAATTATATTGTAACCCGTAAGATATATTAGTACAATCGACAAAAAACTTTATCGACTAACAAATTTCTATTTTTTGGAACTAGACTTAAAAGTTATAATTTGAGTTTTTGGTTAACCCAATATTTCTAAATTTTTGCTGTAGTATGCAGTATTGTATTAAACAACGATCTATTAGCAATTCATACCTTTACAAAACGAGTTTTTCAAAATTGAATTACACTAGATGTGAACGCGACTTCGTCCGCATAAATTGTCGATACTTATAAGCTTTCATACGTTCTTTCAAACCCTTGCAACTCTTTTTTCGGATTATAAAATAGCCTATACCCTTCTCAGGTTCTAGACTATCTGTATACCAAATTTCATTTAAATCGGTTCAATAGTTTTGACGTGAAAGCGAGACAGACAGACGCGAGTTACTTTCGCATGAATAATATTAGTAAAGATTAATAACCAAGATCTTTATTTTTAATATTTCTACAAAATAAATCATGTAAATAATATTATCCTGTTCACAGAGAGCACCCCTGCGAGAGACGAGGCCTAGACTACTGGCAACCCTGTAATATAACAGCTACACCATCATATCCCAACGATTGTCTGTCCCTGTAACTATCCATTGACAAATACGAACCTATCGTTAATTTGTTTCGTTTCCAACCACCGAAACGAATTAAATCGCCTAGCGGAAATCGGTACGCGTTCAGTTAGATATATAACTAAAATATACCAATAATGTATACCATACCTTCTAGACGCTGTAGTATCTTAATCTTGTATAACTTCTAGATCACGTACAGATACAACAGTCAACCTACGTCACCTTCTAGATTAATAACTATCGAAGTTTAGTGTAAGTGATTAATTTTTACAATATTTGATATGTATAAACGTAGTTATGACGACGGCAGGTGTAACTATATATGAGCTAGTTAGTCAAATTAATTGTATTTTACTAGTAATGTTGATGTAAATTGTAAGTGAGGCCGCAGGCCCACGTTTGTCCAATAAAAGTTTATTCGGAAGCCTAGTCTAGTTTTATTTATTACCAATTCTCTTCCTTCATTACATGGTATAAAAAGTCGCTGTCTCTATCTGTTCCTATTATAAAAAGCAATCATTACAATGACGACTTAGGCTGGCAGCCTTGAAGCCGGCTACCGGAAGAGAAACCCAAAGTTTTTTTTCGGGGCACTCTAATGCTGTTGGCCGCAGCTGGCCTTTACAGCTTCACTGGACGATAGGGGACGAGTGCAGATGGCACTCCAAACCAAAGGAAGGACTTATGGTGCGGCTGAAGGCCAACTCCCGCCTGACAGATAAGACTTTAGTCTGAGGGCACCGCTATGGGTTCGAACCTCGGCTCAGGCCGTCCGCGTCGTAGCATCTCCACAGGCCCAACTAAGTCTGAGATAAACCCGTCTCAAATACAATTCAGTTTAGTATCCGAAATACAACCGCCATGTTCCGTGCTCATCGACTGAATGTCGCGGCTCACTCAACAATCGAGGATTATTCAACTACCCACCTCAGTATTTATAGACCGAAGTCAGTGTAGTAGGAAGTGAGTAATGGATATCTTATGAAAAATAACTTAGTTCGGTCTATAAGTACTAGATGGCGCTATTTACAATATTTGTAATAATCTTTACATTAGGTACTTAATTAGTAAACACAAACTACCTTCTTTTAATACCATTTTTAAAATATCGGATTTTTCTACAATGTTGATGTGAACTCTAACAAATATGCTTAAATCTTTAAAACTACCCAACGGATTTTTAAGCGGTTTTTTTAATAGATAGATTGATTCAAGAGAAATGTTTATATATATAATACATGTGCACCCAAATTTTGTACGCCTGTATATGAGCTCAACACATTGAATAGAATATTCAATATTGTAAGACTGTATGACCGCGTACAAGCCAGGAGTTGTGCAGACCATGCGCCTGCACTACAAAACAATGATGGACAGCGGCTACATCTGGCACCGTCACCTGGACCAGTTGCTGTCGGCACCCTGCATACAGCATCTAGACTAAGTGGCGAGGACTGTTATAGGCTATTCATTGTTGTCTAGGTAACAGATAAATCATCATCATCATCATCGCAGCCTGGAAGACGTCCACTGCTGGACATAGGCCTCCCCCAAAGATCTCCACGACGATCCGTCCTGCGCTGCTCGCATCCAATGCCTTCCAGCGATCTTAACCAGATCGTCGGTCCACCTTGCTGGAGGCCTTCCCACGCTGCGTCTTCCGGTCCGTGGTCGCCACTCGAGGACTTTACTGCCCCAACGGCCATCTGTCCTACGAGCTATGTAACAGATAAATAAACAATACTAATGTCTGAATAATTGCTTATTTTGTATATAACAAGCAGTATAGCCCTGAATAGTCTGCGAAGATACTAGAAGTCTTTGCGCTTCTGATAGAAGCTTGACTAATACTATGTAATTTGTATAATATATAATTGTCCTGGCTCTATAGAATAGAATAGATAATCATTTATTCAAATAAACTTACATTGAAGTACTTTTAATATAGTCATCACAATTTTTAATATACCGCTCATTCGGAAAGCTGTCTCATCACAAGAAGAACGAGTGAGAAACCTGTGTGTTGCTCTTTTAAATAATTTTATTCTTACTTACAATTTTAGTTTTAGTGTGTGAATACAAACTACCGGTTAGCTCAATTACATAATATAATAATAACTAATTCAATTAAATAATAAAATAAAAAAAATATTTAATACACAACAACTGGTTAAACAATTAATAAGTGGAAATCAGTCATAGTGATTAGAGCAGACCAGTCCCTACAAGCAGCACCCATCTACGCACAACGATCCAAAATGTGAAAGCAGAGCTAGATGCAGAAAGAGAAGTTTGTTGCGTACAAGCAGCAACAAAACGCAACCCAAAAGGAGCGTCCTGCTTGGAGTGCACACCCATCCAATTTAAAGTCGCTACGTAACGAACATACATTAAAAAACCAACCGTCAACGCAAGGTACATTCGTTCACTCATCCTAATTGGTAATTTATAATAGTTTTACCAATATATACAAGATTGCAAACGTAATCTAGCATTTCCACAACCCTGTCTGCTGAAGCCATCTTCACCTAACATCTATTAATTCGAGCCGCATCACATCCCAATTATTTTTACCAGAACATTCGTGTTAAGGTCCGGTTAACAATATAAATAAAAATATTGTCAACCACGGCCTCGTGGTCTAGCGGTCTAGCACACCGCTTTACATCCGATGGTCGCGGGTTCGATTCCTCGCACGGCACAAACATTTGTATTCATGAGTATGATTGTTTGTATCGGTCTGGGTATTTTCTATGTATAATATGTATGTATTTACGAAAAAAAAAATATCTATTTAGTTGTATCAGTTATCTAGTACCCATAACACAAGCTTTAGCTAGCTTAACTTGGGACTAGATGGCGCTGTGTGAATTGTCTTGAGATTATTATTATTATTATTATAATTACGTAAGATCAAATATTCAGCAGATCTTCTGACATACTGATAGCAGCACCACGTACGGGGTCCAATTGTGATTTCGTACCATCTAGCAACCCAATGAAATATACAGATTTTTAAGTTTGGCGCGGTCATTATTTATAAGTATAATTAGTAAATCACGGGATCTTACCACGTTTTGTTTTTGATGAGTTCCCGATATTTCGGCAGTGTTAAAAGATTTATTTACCATCTCCCCGCTGCTCTTCAGTTCACCCGTGATCATGGCCGTTGAAACACTGCCGAAATATATATATATACTTTATTGCACTTATTACATTAATAGACAAAGACAGTTATACTAAATTGTGAGCAAGGGCAATAAATATCGGAAACTCAACAAAAATAAAACGTGGTAAGATCCCGTGATTTACGAATTATAGTTATAAATACAGAAAGAATTTCATTCAAATCGATCGAGCCGTTTTTGAGGTTGTATAAATTTATATGTCTCCTAGTGTCTAACTAGGAGACAAATAAAGTTATAAAGAAATAGAAATAGATATAATCTTTATTCAAATAAACTTAATATAAGCACTTTTGAATAAATACATTTTTTTTATTCTACCGCTCCTTCGGAACGCACACTCATCACAAGAAGAATGAGCAAAAAAACCTTTTAAATAAATATTGTTTAATTAAATTTACATTAACAAGGATTAGGCATGCGACAATCAGCATAGAATCTCTGTTTAATCAGACATAACATTCTTTATTCTTTATTGTACACACACACACATAATAGAAAAAATTATACAGAATAAATGTAATGTACAAGGGCGAGCTTATCTCTAAAAAGAGATTTCTTCCAGCAAACCTAGAAAATGTTATAGGATCGTGTATTAAATAGAAAGTCATACATACGTGTACGAAAAGAGGAGATATTAAAATATTGTTTTAATGATATTAACTATAAGTATAAATAGACATACATAAATATATATATATATATATATATAGACATACTTAAATGGTACATAAATAAATTATAAGACATAAGTTAAAATGTAAATTATAATATATACCTAAATATATAAATATAAAAATACGTCAGCATTGTGAATGATAATACGCTTTTAATCGGCATTTGAATATTTCAATACTAGAACTGGCACGTATTTCGTGAGGTAAAGAGTTCCACAATCGAATAGCCGTCACCACAAAAGAGCTGGAATATGCCTGCCCAGAGTGTACTGGAGTCCGCAAGAGTAATTTATTCTGAGATCGAGTGTTCATTTCTGTCGGATAGAGAAAATTAAAACGTTCGCGGAGATAGGAAGGTGCAGAAGGATTATGCAGGATGTTGTACAGAAGACTGAGAGTGTGAACATTCAGTCGAAAATGAAAGGGCAACCATTTTAACTGATTACGGTATTGAGTTATATGGTCAAACTTACGCAAACCAAACACAAACCGAATGCACATGTTTTGGAGACGTTCCATTTTGTTGAGCAGTTCACCAGTGGCATCAAGAAAACAAACATCTGCATAATCTAGGAGAGGTAAAAGGAGTGTATGAGATAATTCGACCTTCGTTTTAAATGGAAGAAATCTCTGAAGACGCCGTAAGGAGTGAATGGTCCCATATATTTTCTTACTCACATGTTTAATGTGAGAAAACCAGGAGAGGTCACTATCAATGTAAAGACCCAAATCCTTTACTGTTTTAACGTAAGAAATTATATCCCCATTGTATATTATTGAAGGAATGTGCATTGAATCTAATAAATTAAGCATATATCTGCTGCCAATTATAATCGATTGTGATTTTTTGGTATTAACAAGCAGACCATATGCCTTAGCAAAGCCACAAATACACTCGAGTTCCGTATTGATCAAGGAGATAGCATTATCAACAGATGGTAGGTCAAAACTGCGGTACAGTTGTAGATCATCAGCATAGAGATGGAAGTTGCAAGAGATCACTTTCGTCAGTGAATTGATGAAGACAGAGAAAAGTAAGGGAGAGAGAACACCACCTTGAGGGACGCCGGCAGTCAGTTCGCACCAATCTGAAGTATTCCCATCCAGGTACACGCACTGCCTGCGGCCCCTCAAGTATGAATCAAACCATTCTAAAACCAGTGGAGATACGTTAAAAGAGTCAAGGATGCCAAGGAAAATATCGAAGTCAATAGAGTTGAAGGCGTTACTGAAGTCTAATAAAGTGAGGATTGTGAGCTGTTTATTATCTTTAGCAAGGTGAATGTCATCTAGTACTTTAATTAAAGCCGAAACTGTGCTATGGGCAGGACGAAACCCAGATTGAAAAGGAGATAGTAGGTTATTACTATATAGATAAAGGGATAATTGTTCATGAACAATATTTTCTAAAATTTTGGATAATACAGGTAGAATAGAAATGGGACGAAATTCGTTAAAAGAGCTAGGATTATTGGTTTTAGGAAGAGGAATCACGCGAGCATTTTTCCAGGCAGCCGGAAAAGAACAAGTGACCAAAGA